CCCTTTATACTTTTCTCTCTTTTTCACCCTTTCCTTTCTCACCATTGTTTTTCTTCTGACCACTGCCTCCCTCAATCTGCCCTCCCTTCTGCCCTCCCTTCCATCCACCTACCTCCCTTTTCTTTCTCCTTTCTACTCCTACTTCCCTATAGGGTAAGATAAAGTATGTTATTTCCTCTCTGAGCCAAATCTCATGTAAGGTTTAAACAAAGCTCACCTCCCTCCCTTCTTTCTCTCTACTGTAATAGGTCTTTTTGTGCCTCTTCATGTGGTATAATTTACCCTATTTTGCCTCTCCTTTCCTCTTCTCCCAGCATAATCCTTTTTTTCACCTTATAATATTTTATGTCATCATGTCAAAATCAACTTATACCCCTGTCTATGTATACTCCTTCTAATTTCCCTAATAAAGATACAGTTCCCAAGAGTTACATCTATCATCTTCCCTTATAGGGATATAAACAGTTTAACCTTGTTGAGTAACATTTTTTTTTTCTTTCCTGTTTACCTTTTTACGCTTGTCTTGAGTTTTGTATTTGAAGATCAGATTTTCAGTTCAGCTCTGGTCTTTTCATCAGGAATGATTGAAAGCCCCACCTTTCATTGAATATCCATCTTTTCCTCTGAAAGATTATGCTCAATTTTTCTGGGTAGTTGATTTTTGGTTGTAGTCCGACCTCCTTTGCTTTCCAGAATATCATATTCCAAGCCCTCTAATCCTTTAAAGTAGAAGCTGTGTAATTCTGACTGTGGCTCCACGATATTTTAATTGTTTCTTTCTGACTGCTTGCAATATTTTCTCCTTCACCTGATAATTATGGAATTTGGCCATAATATTCCTTGGAGTTTTTATTTTGGGATCTCTTTCAGGAGGTGATTAGTTGATCCTTTCAATGACTTTTACCTTCTGGTTCTAGGATATCAGGGCAGTTTTCCTTGATAATTTCTTGAATGATGCTATCCAGGTTCTTTTTTTGATCATGGCTTTCAGGTAGTCCAGTAATTCTTAAATTATCTCACCTGGACCTATTTTCCAGGTCGGTTGTTTTTCCAATGAGATATTTTACATTTTCTTGTATTTTTTCATTATTTTTGATTTTGTTTGACGGATTCTTGGTGTCTCATGGAGTCATTGGCTTGCACTTGCCCAATTCTAATTTTAAAGGAATTATTTTTTTCAGTTAGCTTTTGTATCTCCTTTTCCATTTGGCCTATTCTACTTTTTAAGGAATTGTTTTCTGCAGTGGATTTTATTTTCAATTTTGGCGAATTGTATTTTTTAATGAATTATTTTCTTCAGTCAGTTTTTGTCCTTTTCTTTTTTAATTTTTTTTAAATTAATTAATTTATTTTTACTTTTCAGCATTCACTTCCACAAGATTTTGAGTTCCAAATTTTCTCCCCATCTCGTCCCTCCCCCCACCCCAAGATGGCATGCATTCTGAATACCCCTTTCCCTAATCTGACCTCCCTTCTATCTCTCCTCCCCTTCTCTTATCCCCTTCCCCTTCAATTTTCCTGTAGGGCAGGATAGATTTCTATACCCCATTGCCTATATATCTTATTTCCCAGTTGCATGTGAAAACAATTTTTAACATTTGTTTTTAAAACTTTGGGTTCCAAATTTTCTTCCTTCCTCCCTCTCCACACACCCTTCTTGAGAAGGCAAGCAACTTGATACAGATTATACATGTGTAGTCATGCAAAACACTTCCATAGTAGTCATGTTGTGAAAAACTAAGTATATTTCCCTTAATCCTATCCCCACCATTTATTCTATTCTCTCTTTTGACCCTGTCCCTCCTTAGAAGTGTTTGTTTCTGATTACCCCCTCCCCTCTATCATCCCCCTGCTCGCTTGCTTGTCCCCTTTCCTCCCCATTTTCCTGTAGGGTAAAGATAGATTTCCATAACCAATTGAGCGTGTATATTATTCCCTCCTTAAGCCAAATCTGATGAGAATAAGATTCACTCATTCCCTCTCACCTTCCCCCATTTCCCTTCCACTGTGACAGCCATTTCTTGTCTGTTTTATGTGAGATAATTTACCCCATTCTAACTCTCTCTTTCTCTTTCTCCCAGTATAATCCTCACCCCTTCATTTTATTCTCTAGATATCACCCCTTCATCTTCAACTCACCCTGTGCCCTCTATCTATCTATCTATATCTATATCTATATCTATATATACATACATATAATTTTTTCCCTCCAACTACCCTAATACTGACAAAGGTCTCATGAGTTACAAATTTCATCTTTCCATGCAGGAATGTAAACAGTTCAGCCTTAATAAGTCTCTTATGATTTCTCTTTCCTGTTTACCTCTTCATGTTTCACTTAAGTCTTATATTTAAAGTCAAATTTTCTGTTCAGCTCTGGTCTTTTCATCAAGAATGTTTGAAAGTCTTCTATTTTACTGAATGTCCATTTTTTCCCCCTGAAGGATTATACTCAGTTTTGCTGGGTAGGTGATTCTTGGCTATAATCCTATCTCCTTTGCCCTCTGGAATATTATATTCCAAGCCCTCCAGTCCATTAATGTAGAAGCTGCTAAATCTTGTGTTACCCTGATTGTGTTTCCACAATGCTTGAATTGTTTCTTTCTGGCTGCTTGTAATATTTTCTCCTTGACCTGGGAACTCTGGAATTTGGCTACAATGTTCCTAGGAGTTTTCCTTTGGGGATGTCTTTCAGGAGATGATTGATAGATTCTTTCAATTTATATTTTACCCTGTGGTTCTAAAATATCAGGGCAATTTTCCTTGATAATTTCTTGAAAGATGATGTCTAGGCTCTTTTTTTGATCATGGCTTTCAGATAGTCCAAATTATCTCTCCTGGATCTATTTTCCAGGTCTGTTGTTTTTCCAATGAGATATTTCACATTGTTTTCTAATTTTTTATTCTTTTGGATTTGTTTTATAGTGTCTTGATTTCTCATAAAGTCCCAAGCTTCTAATTGTTCCATTCTGATTTTTAAGGAAGTATTTTCTTCAGTAAGCTTTTGGACTTTCTTTTTTATTTGGCCAATTTTGCTTTTTAAGGCATTATTCTCCTCATTGGCTTTTTGGACTTCTTTTGCCACTTGGGTTAGGCTGTTTTCTAAGGTGTTATTTTCTTCAGTTTTTTTTTTTTTTGGGTCTCCTTTAGCAAGCTGTTGACTTGTTTTTCATGATTATCTTGCATCACTCTCATTTCTCTTCCCAGTTTTTCCTCTAATTCTCTTCCTTGCTTCTCAAAATCCTTTTTGAGCTATTCCATGGCCTGGGACTGATTCCTATTTTTCTTGGAGTCTTTGGATGTAGGAGCTTTGACTTTGTTGTCTTTTTCTGGTTGTATGTTTTGATCTACTTTGTTACCAAAGAAAGATTTTATGGTCTGATTGCACCACCACTACAAGCTCCACCACGCCAGTGTTCCTTCTTGCCCCAGAATCACCACTCAGAACTGTGACCCAGATCCAAGCACAGGCAAAGCAAGAGAATACTGCCTCAGCACCAGCAGTTCCCTGCAATCCCCCTCTGATCAGCCACTCAATTCCCCCTCATTCTGTGGTCCAGAAGCTCCAGAAGCAGCCGCCACCCGGGGGCTGCAGCTGGGGCTTGGGCTGGGACCATGCTTCTCTCTCACCGCAGTCACAGACTTTTCCTACTGACCTTGTAAGTTGTCTATGGTGTTTGTGGGTTGAGAAGTCTGGAAACTGCCACAGCTGTCCGTCATTCAGTCCTCTGAGACCTGCTCCTGGTTCACTGAGGCCTATTTTGCCTGGGTGCCCACACTGAACTGCATTCCTCTCCTACCCAGGCGCAAAAGACCTTTCTCCTAACCCATCCAGGTTGTCTTGGGCTAGAAATATGTTTCACTCTGTCTTTTTGTGGCTTCTGCTGCTTTAGAATTTGTTTAGAGCCATTTTTTTCAGGTATTTGGAGGGGTTTGGGGGAGAACTCAAGCAAGTCACTGCTTTTACTCAGCCATCTTGGCTCCGCCCTCATCATTCCTTATAGCACATTAGCACCATGACATTAATATGCCACAACTTGTTCAGCCATTCTCCTGTTGATGGGCATCCCCTCAATTTCCAATTCTTTGCCACCACAAAAAGAGCTGCTATGAATATTTTTGTACATGTGGGTCCTTTTCCCATTTGTATGATCTCTTTGGGATATAGCCCTAGAAGTGGTATTGCTGGGTCTAAGGATACGCACAATTTTATTGCCCTTTGGGCATAGTTTCAATTGCTCTCCAGAATGGTTGGATTAGTTCACAACTCCACCAACAATGCATTAGTGTTCCAATTTTCCCACATATCCAACATTTATCATTTTCCTGTTTTGTCACGTTGGCCAATCTGATAGGTGTGATGTGGTACCTAAGAATCATTTTGATTTACGTTTCTCTAATCAATAGTGATTTAAAACATTTTTTCATATGACTGTAGATAGCTTTAGTTTCTTCCTCTGAAAACTGCCTGTTCATATCCTTTGACCATTTATCAATTGGGGAATGAACTGTATTCTTATAAATTTCACTCACTTTCCTGTATATTTTAGAAATGAGGCCTTCATCAGAGACACTCGTTGTAAAAGTTCTTTCCTATTTTTCTGCTTTCCTCTTAATCTTGGATACATTGCCATGGTTCACTTTACTTAAAGAGGCTTATTCAGTAAATGAGAATTGCCTCACTCAAAATGAGAACTTGAAAAGACCTTATCTTAAAAGAACCAAGGTCTCCCACTGCATCCTGGGCCATCTCCAGTCAGCCTGATTATTATTTGACCACTGGACCCAGATGACTCTGAAGGAGAAAGTGAGGTTGGTACAGCTCTCCCTCACTCAAATCAAAGTCAACTGCAAGTCATGCCATCATCTCCCTGATGTCATGGTCCTTTTTGAGAACAAAGTAGAAACTACATAACAGGTTTTGCAATCAAAACTAATCTAGTCAACAAGCTTGTATGCCTACCAAAAGGAGTGAATGACAATGCAATTCCTACTTGCAGGAAAATGTCATGCCACCATCATCAGTGCCTATACTCCCACCGTGACAAACCCTGATGAGGTCAAAGAAAAATTTTATGAAGACCTGGAGACACTTATCATCAGTGTGTCAGAAGAGGACAAGCTTATAATTCGGGGAGACTTTAATGCTAGATGGGCTCAGACTACTACTGGCAGAGAGTCCTAGGAAAGAATGGGGTTGGAAACAGCAACAACTCATTGTTGGAAGTATGATTCAAACCCAGACTCCTAGAATAGACTTCAAGCCTAGCATTCTTTCTACTCTGTCATCTTACTTTTGAAAAACAAGAAAACAAGGTATGTGATGTGAAGAACAAAAATAAACTTTGTTATTTTAAAGCAGTAGCATAGTTTTTAGCGTTGAGCAAATAAATTGTTTACCCAGTAAGAAAATGTGGATTTAAGTTTTTATATAGTTCTTTCCAACAAGCAGTTTAATTCATTTAGAATGAAGAAAAGGTAATGTGAAAAAAATAGAATATAAACTTACAAGTGTTGACTTCCTAGGATGAAGTCCCATTCAAATTATAGACTCCTGATATGAAAATTCATTGTTATGGCTTTTCAGTATAAATGGTAGATGAGAGACAGGTAGCATGCCTCTATAAAGGCAGTTGGCCTTGTCTGAAAGACCTGATTTAAAGTCTTGCTTTTTCCTTGGCTATATGACCACCACTGAGTAACTTTATTTCTCAGTGTTCCAAGCTCCTCTCTAAATTACTGATATATTGCCTTTTAAGATAAGTGGAAGGAGTTTCCATATTGATAGGTCACCATATGGATGAACTTAGAGATCTGGATCAAAAAAAACCAAAAACCAAGTAGCCCAAACTTAGATTTTCAAGTATTCTTTTAAAATGACATTAGCATATTTGATTACCAGTTCTAGCCAAAGTTTTTACTGTATTTACATAAATGAGTATTTATAAAACATTTAAATATATTTTGATTTTTTTAGATAGGCAAGCATTCCCATTTTAATCTTGTTTATGGTATTTATTGGCTTAATGATTTCCTTAATGTTTAACTCAGCTCTTTGAGTAAATCAGAATACAGTTGCTAGTGGTAGTGAGAAACAAATGAAAACAAAGTTTCAAAATCTATGAAGAGTATCAAATAATAGAGAGAGAGGTTATGGTCCTTGAGTTTCAGCCATTATTTTTTACTTTATGTAATTCTATTTAGAAATGTATTGACAAACTCACAGTCTACATGAGTAATACTCACAAGAGCTGTCCAACCTTTAAAGTTTGGAAAGTACTTTATATGCTTTACCTCCTTTGATCTTTATAATAGCCCTGTGAAGTAGATAATACGGTATTATTTTTCACATTTTCCAGATGAGTCTCAGAGAGATTAAGTATTCCCAGGTGCCAATGTCAATAGTCCGTTACAACTTCACGAAACTTATGTGAAAACTAGGCTTATTGTGAGAGAAAGAGTTAACAGTCCATACAGAAGTTTTCTTTTTTGTAACAGGACAATGGAAGGAGGGGATACCAGAAATCTCTACCTAATGTGGTGTGGCATGGGAGGGAAAGGTGCAAGATAGATGGGAAAAGGACAAAACCCCTCCTACAGGAGAGGAGCAAGGCGATGGCAAAAGCCACATTCTTTTGCTTTGGGAACTGCTAGACTATGATGATATGATGGTCTACTTATCTATGAGGGTCTCAGTTGCACAAGCCTAGTTCAGACTGTCTGGCTCCTGTCTTAACTCCCAAGGACACACAGGGAGTCCAGCTTGAGATGCAAACAACAAATTATGTCATCTGGGGGTGGATGGGTGGGTTTCATCTTTGATACATTCAGGGCCTCCTGCATGTTCTAAGAAAATATGGCAACTCAAAGAAACAAGTTCAGGGGATCCCTTAACAGTCCTTAATATCAGGAAGCCCCGTCAGGGATGCTTGTATTATGTAGCTGAGGAGTATCTCTGCTATGGTGAATAGAAAACTCTCATTTGCTGTTTGTTATACATTGGTACATATATAAATTCATTTGTATATTTACTATTGAAGAAAAAATTCTTTGACCAATAAGCAGAAACTGGTTGCTGAAATAGAAATGGAAATTTTGGAGACAAATCCCTGTTTCCTCTTAGGAGTCATGATGAAGAAGAATGCTAGGCACATTGTGCTGTGTTTCCTAGATTTTGTGAGAGCAGATTTCAAAAGATACAAAAGAAAGGATAGGTAGGATCCAGTGGTCTAAAGTTCCCAACTCAATTCACTCTCTGGACTGCTCCTTCTCACTAGTAGCCTTGTGTTGCTTCTCCCCTGGTGTCTGCTTTCCTGATTGGTGAGTCTCTGGCCCAAATTGCTATTTCATGTGGGTTATCTGCTACGCTCACTTTAGTGGCAGATAATTCTCTCTTCTGACTGGTCCACCTCAGCACTTCCTTTCTCCTTTCCCCACTTCCCACTCCATTTATATTTTGTCTTCCCCTATTAGAATGTAAGAGTGCTTTGCACATGGTAGATTCTTAACATATTTTTAAAAAATTGTATTGAATTACACTATTTGTCTGTGATAGCACAACTAAATGTCAGAGGTAGAATTTACACCCAGACCCCCTAGACTAGACCCTAAGTCTGGTGTTCTTTCTACTGTGCCATCCTATTACAGTTTTACTTTTGAAAAGACAAGAAAGCCTGATTTGAATTATAGGTATGTGATGTGAAGAGCAAAAGTAAGCTTTACTGTTTTAAAACTGTAGCACAGTTTTAGTGTCTACTGAATAACTTGTTTACCTTCCTAGGGGATATGGATTTAAATTTTTACATAGTTCATTCCAACAGGCAATTTAATTTATATGAAATTGATATTCATCTTACCTTGAGAATGTCAAATCTCTTTTTTTCTTAGTGGGTTCTCTTGAGAGGAGATTGACTTTTTTCTTTCCTTCCACCAGCTGTGCCAAAGGTCATATGTATTTTCTATTAAAAGTAGGTGGAGTTAGTGAAGGGACTAATTGCTTATTGTGTTCAGCCCTGTGGTAAAAGGGTGGGCTCTATATAATCATTTCAAGTTAGTTTAATTTTAACCTTGCAGTAATAGCTGGTGTATTATAAGATTCTATAAGACCTCGTGCAGCAGTTGTGTGGATTGATGGTACTGTGATATTGCACAAGATTGTTGAATCTTTTTGACTAGCGTAGACATGGCCTTACATGAACAGCACCATAAAACTGCATATGTACATATCAATAAAAGATAATGAGAGGTGACATTGAGTAAAGGTGAGATTCATATTCATTATTTTAATTGTGAATTTAATAAATATTACTTATAATATTATTATACCTTTCATGTACAGTTTGCTCAAATTACTCATGAGAAACAGTAAAAGAAAACCTGTTGAAGGCCCTATTACATTAAATGGACCACCCTGATTCAAAAGGATCTCTGAAAGGAATTATTAATTATTTCCTGTCCTGTTTTACATATATTATTGTGTGGGAAGAAAATGGAATTAAAATCCTTGTTTTCATAGGATAGTTGGATATTTAATTTTTTCATGAATCTTATTAATGAGGGGGTGGGACATAGTGAAGTTAAAGTTTTAGAATCAGGAAGATGGCCCTGAGAATGGAGGAGAAAAGAACCACTGGAATGATAGAATCTTGGTCTAGAGTATTATTCCTTCTCTCTCTTCTTTCCTTACTTTGTCCCTCCCTCCTTTTTTTCTTCCTTCCTTCCTTTCCTCTCATTCTTCCTTCCTCTTCCCTTCGTCCCTCTTTTCCTTTCTTCTCTTCTCTCTTTCCTTCCTTCTTTCCCTTCCTTCCAAGACAGAGGGTACAATTCTAAGAATGGATGAGTTTTTTTGTTTCTTTTTTTTTTTTCCTTCCATTTGAAGTTCATTCTTCATGGCCTTAGCAGTGGACTATGGTTTTTGTGAAAACAGCAGCTTCCAAGGAACTAAAGGACATTTCCCCCCCATTTTATGAAGATCCAGTGTTGGAGATTATGTAGGGTATAAGTCATTTTGGGCAGAACCTGTTGGTGAACAGACAACATTACATTAATGCTTCATAGAAATCCAGAATAGTCTCATTTATTACTTAAAGATATGTTGTTGTTCAACGTATTTTCAGTTTCAGTTGTGTCTGACTCTTCCTGGCCCCATCTAGGATTTTCTTGGAAAAGATACTGGAGTGGTTTGCCATTTCTGTTTCTTGCTTGTTTTATAGATAAGGAAACTGAGATAAACAGGGTTAAGTGACTTGCCAAAGGCCACAGAGCTAGTAAGTGTCTGAGGCTGTATTTAAACTCATGAAGATGAGTCTTCCCGACTCCAGGCTGGACCCCTAGCTGCCCAAAGATATGTTTAGTATGGGGCAACTGGAAGACTAGCCGATGTTATCAATTTTGTTGCCCCTGAACAGTCAGGATATGATAGGCAGCAGAAATGCTATTGAGTCTGCAAAACCTTGAAGCTTTCTTTTACAGTAAGTCCCATAAAATAGGAGCTAGAGGGATATGAGATTTGGGAATAAATTTCTTTAAAAGTTCTGGTAATTATAACAGTATCTGCTTTCTTATAGGGAAAGGTCCATTCCATCCTGAAGCAAATAATTATCAGTATATATTCAAAAGGATATACTCTTTGACCCAGTTATACTATTACTAGACCTATACCCCAGAGAGATCAGAGAAAGAAGAAAAGGATTCATATATACAAAAATATTTATATCAGCTTATTTTGTAGCCAAAACTTGGAAACTAAGGGGTTACCTACATGTTGCGGAATGATTAAACTCATAGTGGCAAGTGAATGTAATAGAATATTATTGTGCCATAAGAAGTGACAAAATGGATACTTTTGGAGGAAACTGCGAAGATCTCTGAATTGATGCAGAGTGAAGTGAGTAGAACTAGGAGAACAATTTATGACGACAACAATATTATAGAGAAAAGCAACTTTGAAAGACTTTAGAACTTTGATCAATGCAATGATAAACTTTGAGTCCAGAGTACTCAAGATGAAATACCTCATTTGCCTCTAGCCAAAGAGGTGGTGGACTTAAAAATGCAGAATGAGACATATGTTTTTGGATATGACTAACACAAGAATTTATTTTGCTACACTTTGTATATTTGTTATGAGTTTTATTTTTTAATTTTTAATTGTTTATTTTTACTTTATTTTAAAATTTGTTTTATTTTTTAAACTTATTTTATAATTTAATTTATTTAATGGGGGACAGTATGAGGGAGAGACAATAAATGCCTGTTAAAAAAGTTTCTTTTAAAAGAAAGAAACAGCATATAATCAAAAGAATTAAACTTTCGTA